TTGCATCGACGGGCTTCGGCCGCGCGTTTGGTGGTGTCCATGATGTGGTGCTTGGGCTTAAAGCCGATATATTTTAGTAGAGGATTGCCAAACAGCAGGTCATGGAGCCAGTAGGCGTGTGCCGTGATGCCTAGGTAGAGCAGGAAGACCTTGGCGTTGGCAATAGAGTTGCCAATGTCGTAGGCTGCGTCGAGGAAGCCGAACGATCCGCTGAAGACAAGGCCGGCTACGGAATCGGAGGTCCAGAAGAAGAACCAGTTCTCGAGATTAACAGGCTGGTGGGTTTCAGCAAGGCGAACGAGGTGGGCTTGCAGCTTATTGAGGCACGTGTCGAGATGCGCCTCGGAACGGAGAACATTAGATGAGAGATATCCTGGGGCGAAGATCTTCTTCATGTCATTTTTACGCTTTGGGTCTACTTCTGACATGCCTGTCTGGTGATATTTGTCCGGGATAGCGCAGGCTTTGTACCAGTCACCTTTGACCAACGGTTGAAGAAGGATAGCGCGGACAGCATCAGGGTGACTGCAGCTGACCTCCTCGTGCGAGATACGAACGAAATGGCCTAGCGAGGTTATTAGTCTTCTCATCCTGAAGGATAGATGTTGGCCTTATTTGACCTACCATGCTCCTCATGTAGCTTCATCATTACCTTCTCAATGTCACCTTTGATGGCACGCCAAATCTGCCAACCGCTTCCAAAGGAAGCCCAGAATGGACCGGGAACTTGACGTAGGGCAGTGCCATATCGTCTATGAAGCAGGAAAGCAGAGACAAGGAGAAGGCAAATGCTCAACAACGAGCCCGAAGTTGATAAAAAACCAACGAGACCCATTGTGGAGTTCTACGCTTATTTTTTAGAAACCCAGGGAAACAAAACAAGAGAAGTTGATAGAGGATTGAAAAGCCTAAGATTAATAGATGACCAGAGCAAAAGAAGACATGTGGGTCTTATAGCGACTCGTAAGCTAACGAAGTTGTTAACATTTCTTAACTTTTTTCTTCCGGCGCTGTTGTTCTTTTTGTTCCGTTGGTACTTTGATAGCTGCTAATGCCCGGAATTATATAATTCGCTTAATTAAGAACAACATACAAGCTATATTGTTTTAAGTAAACGGCGACTTGATCTTATGCAGCCCTGTACGTTCTCTAATCTAGGATTTAGCTGCCGTTCTATGACGTTTATCTACAACAAAGCCCTTGACAGCTAGTGGTCTAAGAGATACAGTAAGTGAAGGTACGAGGCACCGTATAAAGGCTACCCCTCCGGTGGATTCCACGTACTGTACTTAGTCTATTGCATCTCCTTTACAACATCAATATCCACACAGAGCTGCAATAATACAAGCATTAATACTTTATGCTAACTAAGCACTAGGACTACTATGCTAAATATACCGTAATAATTTAGCATATATTAGGTAGTTGATTCGATAAATACGCTAGTAGTCTTGTTAGGCATAGCTCATAGCTATAAGTAGCTATGGTGGTTAGCGTAAGCGTTACTTTAACACAAATAGCCAATAGTTTAGACTTCACTACGTAGTTAGATAATCTCAACAACCAGTAAAGGATTTCTATTATGAGCACCTTTGTTAGACCAAATGATAATTAAGTACTAGTGAGTAGCTAACTAAGGTAGAACGGGGTTTCCTTATCTGTTCTAACATTTTAGATGAGTCCAACAAACGCAGCAAAGGTGGCGGTGCTACATACTTACGCACATAAAGTGTAATAATATTATAAATTTATGGGTACAAAAGACCAGAAACGTGATTTTCACATCTCATGATAGCGGTAGGCCGTGGTATCGGTACATATGACCATCATCATATTCATGTGTAAATTGATATTTGTGAGGACGTCCAAACTGGCGGAGCCTAGTATCTAATAATGTCTTATTCACCGCACAAGCCCTTTCTAAGGCCTAGAGTCATAAATCAATCATCCCCGTTCTATAATAAACAGAACCGCTCATCATATCCAATCTACGCCCGCCACATACTCCGAACGAGGCTTGCATTATACGCCTGCTTCTCTGCATTGACACTTATGTCACCTTAGTTAAAGACACGTAGCACTGAACGGGGTTCCTCGTGATCGAGTCGTATGAATCCCGAGAGCTTAACTCGTCGGAAAGCTTATGAAACTCGAAGTTCCACACCAGTGAAGCCAGCACAATGCGAGTCTCAAGGTACGCTAAGCGCCTGCCAAAACAACCACGTGAGCCGAGACCGAAGGCCATCATCGGTCCACTTTGGGCGTCATATACTTCGTTTCCGTTCTCATCCGTCTTTAACCAGCGGTCGGGCTTGAAAAGATGCATGTCGCTTGGGTCCCAGGATCCGTAGAGTCTCTTGTCGCGCGACGACGGACTTCGGGTGTGTTCTGGTATGGGAATAGGCGGAGACTGGTAATCAGGGCCATCCGAAAGTAAGAATATTGGGGTTCCCTTGGGGATTTTATGCCCTAGGATAACTGTATCAACCAGAGCCTCACGCAACGTGATCGGAATAGGTCCTGCGTACATAGAAATACGTTAGTCGAGATCTCTAGGCCCCATAGTATGGAAACTACTAAATCAGACAAAACAAGGAGACTAAGGGATCAGGCACGGGAGGTTTTTATACACACCGTCGTGACGTAAGGACTCCTCGAGGACGGCATCGAGATACGGGACTGGTGTTTTCCAAAGTTCCTCTACAGATGGCTGTCGCCCCTCGGCATGCGCCTCCGAGTACGCCGTGCGAAGAGCCGCCCGCAATCTAATCTGAACCTCGGGATACTCCGCGACGTTCTTAACCATCCCTGTTCAGACAGAGATAGTCAGTTTAATTTTACACCATCATATCTAAATCGTAGAGATAATTATATGGATGGGGGAACGTACACGCTACCGCAGTGGAACTTGTGTCATGCCCTGCTACGACTATGACTCTGAATGTCAGTTATCGCCGTTTAGAGCGTGGTTTTATATGGGTTTCAGAAGCTTCTAGACGCCTGAATCCAAGAAGGAAATCTCGTGCTTCGAGAGTCTCCAAAATAAGAAGGAAATGGATCCTAAAATTGCTTACGAAATCCAAAAAGCTGATAAACGGTCAACAATGGATTCCTTAATCTGGCAGAGGCGAGCCTTACTTCATCATGAATCTGCGGGGAGTGAAAAACTGGCTCTCGTCCAGCCTTTTCTGCTGCATTCATTTCTCGCTGCAGAATGTGGTCCATAGCTGATCGCGTCCCGCTCTCGCCCTTATGAAGGCGCACGACGGCCTTATCGATCTCGTCATAGATGAACTTATCCTTTTTAGCAAAGTCCTTGGCCAACGTTGGGCTTGTCAGCATCTGGATTCGGTGCATCGTTTTGGGAAAAGGGGTCTTGAATTGTTCTCCGAGGTGGAGTCCCATTGCCTCAATGGCCGCTATATTTGGCAAGGTAGGAAGTTCTGGGAAGGCAACGGTCCCGTCAGCATTAATCGCGGGCCTATAACCGGGCTTAGAACTAAGAAAATGCATTTGATTTTTGACAGTGCTCTGATCGTCTTCTAAGCCGAAGGCGACGGCATTGATGATATCGATCGCTGCGTCAAATATGTCCCTACGCGCGTTGAACGGCTGACCTTCTCCCAGCTCGGATTTGAGAGTCCACAGGTCGACAAGAGCCATTGTCTTGGCATAAATTTGCGGCGCAGACACCTGGAGGAACGGTGAGCTTATTCGTCACCCCTACTTATTAAGAGATCTTACCTCATGTAAAAAGTTGAACGTCATCAGGTCTCGGACAAGTTCCCTATTTCCCTTAAATCGAGGATCCGATGATGCCATGGCAATGTGGTGGTTTGGGACTACGCCAGCGAAGGCGTTCGTACTAAAAGGACCCCGATTAAATTCTCGAGCGCGTCTCAGCAAGATATCTTGAGACTCTCGGAAGTCGGAAAGAATCAAACAAGGCTTTTGTAATGGTCCCATCCAGACTTGAGTGAGAGCAGAGTTATGCTTCTTCGGATGCTCTATAAAGAACGGTCGCGTCTTCCCAGTAACACGTAGTATGGAAAGTAGTTCAGGAACGTTTCCGAAGAGGCTATTTTTCGCACTCTCGTCATAAGGTATACCTGGTATAGGTTTCGGCAAAGCCCAACGGTAGGCAAGATATAGCGCCACCAAGATGGCGACGACGTAGAAGGGAGTATTGCCCATGCTCAGAGCTGTTGGAATATGAAACGCCATACTAGCCATAAGCACCAGGGTCAATCGATAGACTTTGTCAAAATGGTCTCAACAAGATAACTAGGCAAGTGAACATATTAGTTATATATCTCGATCTACTATTATTGTGATTTCGTATAAGAGGTTATATAAGGCTTACGCCCTATGGAACCATGTGTTCTAGTAAATCATGCACCTTCGGTATCCGAGGACTCCGAACTGGGTGATCTGAGGTGACTCTCAGAGCTCAGGAACGAGCAGTCTTGTCTTGGAGAATCCATACAAGAAAGCCTAGCTTTCATGTAGGGCGGTGGATATTTGGCGAGACGGCCCACTCAGTAGTCTAGTGTATAAGGCCGGCACAACTCATACTCCGTTTTGACAGGTAGCAAGAATAAGTCTCCGCCGTTGAGACCTGGTGAAATAGGGCCGACACTTTCATTTCACCCGCTCCCGTCGGTTTGGTATGGTGTGACTGTCCGACGGTGAAACCCAAGAGAATACGTTACCAGCCGTGGTTAATCTTATCAAGTGAGTATTCAACTCAGGCTTCATACTTTTACTGTCTATGTTCTTACCGTCTGCAATATTAACGAGACAGGCCAATGAAGTGTCCGTCTACGCGATTGATTAACCCACAATGATGAGCCGATCTCGCCCCGTCATATCTTATACATTTGAGGATGTTGTGTAAGGATTGGCCAAGAGCCAAGACAAAATGATGGCTTTGCCAAGAACACGCACGGTCCATCCTGGAGCCGGTGGGCGGAAACAGAAACAAACAAAAGACAAACCAACTCCGAATCGGGGAATCGAACCCCGGGCTTGACGGCACTTTTTTTATATCTCATGTTTTATTGTAAGACATATTGAGAGCGTCAAATGTTAGCCACTACACCAATTCGGACTGATAATTGATTTTTCGCTTAATATTTGCCAATATAAAAAGAACACGGGAACACCGAGTTGATATTGTGTATAGTGCCATCAGCACTCCTTGGGTAGCCAGACATTTATTAACTATGTCACGATGTCATACACGAAGAACGAACGCATAACCCATGATTAGTATTTCCAAATCCCGTAAGCAGTGTATCCTATTGTGAGACCTCGCCATACAATAGTACTAAATGACAAATTCACCGCTGACTTTCATCGCTGGGGACGAAAAGGGGTTGCCGGATAGTACTGACCGGGCAATCATGCTACGACTGATTATGTTCGGGGCCGTGGTATTGATCGGAGTCGGATATAACCCCACGGGTAGAGCCCCGAGTTAACGGTGCCGCCATTGCGGAGTCTTGCACCACCCGTTGCAGCGACAACAAATCTTACTAAATATAACTCACGTCGCCCGTTATCCCGTTATCCCGGTTTCTGGATTGAAAAGAGTCTCACTTACGTGGCTCGTTGACTGCATATTCCGATATCTCCAGTCTGCACATATACATGTAGTGTACTAACATGTAGGTATCTGGGAAGCACAGCCGGTTACATAGTACGTGTGTAGGCAGGTCAGCATCCAGTAGACGATAAACCTTAGATTAAAGAATTAATTACATCTCGTACTATCGACGTCAACCACTTGCACTCTAACGAGACTCCAGACCATAACAGTAAGTATGGGATTAATAGTGACGAACACAACTAATAAAAGTTATGCTAAAGTGTACAAAGAAGAGCAATGGCCTCTTTTTGCTACAGCTAACCTGAAAAGGGACTACCCTAACCCAAATCACCATGTCGTACCAAAAGTTTGCACTTCGTAGTCTATGGCGTCCATGGCTACGAAGGTTACAAAGGTTAGGGAACACTGCCGTCTGTATGTAAGCCCCCCGGCACAATCACCAAATGCTATCGAAACAGGACTTTCAAGTCTAAGAAAGGGGAAGTATCTTAATATTTAACCGCCATGGTCTACATGATAAGCTAGCGTGTATATAGCGTTATCCTCATTCGCTGAAACCGCAGTTAACACAGGTAATTGCTCCTGGTGAAAGAGTAAAGATATCCGAAGCATCGCTTGTAAAATAAACAGCATACACAACGCTTATACCTCAAAGACAAAGAGTGGTAGAAGCGAGTATGAAGGGAAGCGGAGAAGAAGCGCGAGTGCCTAGACCATCCCCGACCAATATCTGTGAGCTACAAGCTACAAGCCATAGCTCGATTTTCAATCACGCGCTCCAAGTCCACAGCAGGCTTTGCAAATGCACCCGAGACAGCAGTTGACAGCCCTGTCACCAGCGTTCCTGACCCCCGCCTCAACACGTGCCCTGAGGGGGATGGAAGGGACTTCATGAGAGACATGGATATACTTAATTCCGTTTGGGGTCTGCATGGCGTGGGTTGTGACATTCGGGCCGAGGTTGGGTTTCGGCAGTGGGCGCATTTCCATCGACGGTGCGGTTGACGGCTCCTGAGTAATTGGATCCCCGTCAACCGTGATGGCGTTGGTGCCAGACGGGCCGGAGGAGGGGGGAGCGGCCGCGGACTGGCTATATCTTAGGTCAAAACCGCGTCTTGAGGAGGGGGAAATACGACGGAGAGCTGCTGCGACTTACCTAGCCTCTTGAGCGGGGGCAGCGCCCGATGTGCTGGAACTCATGATTGATTATGAGTATAGCCGTCTCACGTAGCAGTGTTCAGAGAATAAAAACTGGTGGAAAGCGATACACAGAGCAAACTTGTTTCCAAAAGCAGAGACGGTAGTTGAATGTTGAATGGGGATATATCTCGAGCTCGCTGGGCAGTCGACTCCGGGATCTCGCAGTCTTATATATGCTCTGCGACTCTTAGTCGCACCCTCAACTTTGAAACTTTCTTAGTGCGTAAGCATAACCATGAGGCTGTGAAGTGGCTTCCCTCGATCGGGACAAATATTGATAGGTTCGCGAATAATTGCTTCAAGGTAGAAACATTTCGAGGCGTACAAGAGAGGGCCGTTTCCGGTGGAGTGGTTAGAAGACCAAAATAAAGTGTTAGGTATCTCTCATCGAATATGATCGGATAGTCTCCCTGTTTGAAACAAATGAAACGAAGAGCATGAATGAAAAGGATAGCAGACTCTAGTCATCGACTATCCAAACTCTCTTGCTTTAGAATCTCACGGACGAGTATGATACTTCCAGTGACATGACCAAGATAAATTCGCCGTCAAGTTACCAGAGACAAGTGTAAAACATCATTGTTAGATGACGGTACCAGCTACAAACAAAGGCCAGACCAAAGAGGCAGGCACATTGTATGAGGACATCATGATAGAGAGTTGTAGAGTGGCACAACATGAGTAGGGTAAGAACCCTTTAGTAATGTTGTACCATCTGATAAGGGATTGCAAGCAATTAAGGAAACGACCAAGCCTCTCGGAGGTCAGAGTTGCCAAGTCATATACCGATTTGTAGCGAACCGGCAAGCCGCAATGAAATCCAGAGGTTATTACCCTGCCTTACACATTGGCAAAACAGTAAGCCGGTAGGAGCAGGGCTGAGTAGCGCCCTCCCTACAGTCCGGTTGAAGCCCAAGGAATTCAAACCTTAAGCGGCGGTAAGACAAAGTAGACATGTAGGGACCACTCCGTGAAAGTTAGTGGCAGGAGGTAGGCACCAGAGAAATAGTAAATTGATTAATCTGCAGTATTGAATTAATGCTGTAGTGTAGCTAGAAACAGGTGTTCGGTGTCGTAAGAGGGAGTCATGTCGTCTGCTGGGTTCAAGGGCTAAGGCCGGATGTGTGTGTAGGGGTCCGTCTCAAGAGATAGTGTGAGCTGAATCAAATATCAACGTGCTTTGTAACATGTATGCATTCAAATGTATTACGGCATAATCGTGGTTTTCGATCCATGAACTCAGCTCTCCCTTGCTTCGAAGTTTGGGCGTTGTTATCGTTAGCATTAGTCAATATGGACATTAAATTACCGAAGATTACGTGGTAGGATTACTTTCATAGCAGCATTATTCATATTTAGGCCTGAAATGAGGTATAGGGTATACCTAAGCTATGGAATGTCGTAGTCCAGGAAGAAGATGTAGTCATCATCCTGAAATCGCATGTTAGGACCTACCACAACCCAACGCGAACCGCGTAAACAGTAAAACCGAGACTGGTAATACGCCAACGTATTCACATATGCTGATAGACACATTCATATCACGATGGCGTATATTTCCTCCTCTTGATGTGCATGCTAATACCAAGTTCGGCGAAGGAGTCCGTCATCTGTCAAGCCCCTCTAAGCATCTGTTTGCTCAACGAATGCCACACTGGAAATACTTATTCCCCCCCCGTCGCGTGTAGATTGTCCACACAGTTAGGGCCGAAAGAACTACACGCGAAATTAAGACGATACTAATCCCAGTTACCCCTAGACCAGCGAGCATGACTGCGGCCCATGCAAGGCATCACACAATACACCGGACACCAACCAGGATAATAAAGCATTGAAATGCACATTGAACCTGAAATCTCGGATGCAAGGGACAAGGTACAATAATGATCGAGGGCCAAACGAAAAGCACATCCCTAATAAGTTGTTCCAATCTGTGCCAGTACGGTCAATGACAACGAATCGACGGCATCTCATCATCAACAGAACTTCATAAACCGCTTCGCTCTACAGATGCCCAGGTGTCTACGACGTTCGTAATCCCTGTCTCAAACAGACGGTACCTAACGATGTATCAAATATCGATGGTATATACCAACAAAACCAAAGTACCATTATAAACCCGCTTCACAATGATTATCCGGATATCCTCGTAATTACAAGCCACCTCCTACCAGCATTCATAATAGTACTCCCTCATCAATCATCAGCCATCAGCCATCATTGTCTTTGTCCGAACAAGAACATCCCATCACCTCATCACAGCTTGCGTAACGGCACCACCGCCGACCCCACCCGGTCTCGCAACCGCATTCCTGGCGATGAAGTCGCGGTTCTCGATCGTCACGCTCTTGGTCATATGATTTACCTTATACACGCCTACAAGGCGAGCTGCGAGCTCGAACATGTTGTTCCGCAGCGAGATGACGATGAACTGTGCGTTCTTGGTGCGCTCCTTGATATAATTGGCAACGATGGAGACCTGTGTATTACACATCAAACAATCTCGTTAGCAACTCCTCCCAAAAACAAACAGACGGAATAAAAAAGTGACAGTAAGAGTGGGAGAGGGTGTAGAATTGTGGTCACTCACGTTGCGGAAATCCAGAGCAGCATCAATCTCATCCATAACATACAACGGCGTAGGTTTATAATGATGAAGCGCAAACACCAGCGCGAGACTCGAAAGGGTCTTCTCGCCACCGCTTAGATTGCTGATGTTCTTCCAGCTCTTCTTGGGCGGCATAACGGAGAACAGGATCCCCTCGCTGAACGGATCCAGGCTGTCGACGAGTTCGAGCTCCGCATTCCCGCCCATAGTGATCATCTGATACATCTCTTTCAAGCGAAGGGAGATGGTACTGAAGCCTTCCATGAAGCCTTCTAGTCGCAGCCTCCGAAGATCATCGCACCGCTTCTTGGCCGAGTCGCGTTGTTGCACGGCGCCAGCCAAGTCAAGTGAGCGTGCGCTATGTTCCTCGACGCGACGGCGGTATTCTGCCAAGACGCTGACGTCGACATTGACGTTCTGGGTCTTCTCTTCCAAAGCAGCAATCTCGGCCTTCAGCGCCTCTTTGCTCATATCCTTCAGTTCATCCTGGGTGAACCGTGGAAGCTCTTCGGGCTGTTCTGTGGGGGTTTGCTCGTGTGATTCCTGCTCCTGCTCCTCGCCGTCTGCCTCAGTGGATTCTTGTGCATCAGCCTCTACTACCTTCTTCGCCGGCACCTCGCCCATCAGATCGTTAACGTTTTGTAAGACTAGCTTGCCCAGCTTCTCGTTCCAATAACGCAAGCGCTTCTGA